TCTTTTTCAATTAAAATATTTAAGATCCTCTCTCAAATTATGTCCAATTAAAAATTTGTCGAATTAAATTAAATATTTAATTAAAAAATTAACTGTTATAATATATAATGTACTGTAATTTGTATAACAAAAAACAAATATATAATTTTAAATGAACTGTATTTGAGATCCAGTTAATAGAGTCCTTAATGCTAAAATTTGCTCGCTGGGTGGAGTCCGATCAAACTCCTTAGGGAGATTCTGTAGATTAAAGGAGTGGCGACAGTTTCCGCACACCCTGTATTTGCACTTTTACGACTCGATAAAAAACATATACGCTCGATAAAAAACATATTTGAACGAGGTAAAGAAGGCAGAATTGCTGATCTATGTTTGCTTGCAGTATCTGATCAAAGTGAATGAGATTAAAACGAAGAAGGGTATCGAACTGTTGCAGCATCTAGTCGAATATTATCACGCGCAAACAAAGTGAGTATAAACACATTAATTCTTTGATCGATATTATTTACGTTGAATTACGTTGTGAATTCATTATTATGTCAAATTGATTTTACAATAAGTTATCACAGTAATTATTTATCTCTCTGAAGTTTCAATTTATGGGACATAATGAGGATTGAAGAGCGATTGAAAAGTGATCTCAATTCAATTTTCTAGCGTTCTTACATATTCGGAATTTTAGTTATTTCCAGGATGGCTTGAAGACTATTGAGCATTTCGGTTCGTACGTAGCCGACTTGAGCGTAAAGTTACAAAAAATCAGACAGACACAGGATGAAGAACGAAGACGATTAACGGAACTTAGGAGTCTTCTTAGAAGCTCCGGATGTGACAAAGAGGTAAAACTATTGACACAAGACTTTATTTCCAAGATCAATTTATCACAAATGCGATGAAAATAGATCTAATAGTCTTTAATTGGTATCATTGCTTCTTCACTTTTGTTTAATATTGATGATACAACAATAATGTTTCTTTTTTAACATCATCTTATTCAGTTGCAGTAGCCTGCTTAATAGAAAATTAAATACAAAAACTTTGCTAATGTTTTTATCTTAAATTTAGCTTTGCCGCCTTGTACTTAAGAATCATCAACTTTCGGATTATCTTAAACGTTTCACTTTATATTGCATTTTATGTTGCACATAAATATTAAACGACACCATGCATAAATCTTAAACTATAAATCTTACGTGGCTTGCAGCTAAACGCAAATGCAAACGTGGGTTACTCGCTGCATCAGCTGCAGGGCGACAAGCAACACGGCGTCACGCGTTCTGGCCACCTGCTGAAGAAGAGCGAAGGCAAGATGAGGCGAGTCTGGCAAAAGAGGCGATGCGCTGTGCAGGCGGAAGGTTACCTTGATATCTGCCATGCGGACGAGAATAAACCGCCCACCAGAGTGAACCTATTGACCTGCCAGATTAAGTTAGTACCGGACGACAAGCGAGGCTTCGATCTTATAAGTTGTAAGTATTACGCTTGATATATAAGCGAGCTTCCAAGAGACACCATTTCTTCACAATGAACGGACGCCGCGTAATACTGTCATTGTTTCGATTTCAGACAATAGGACATATCACTTTCAAGCGGAGGACGAGGCAGACCAACGTGCGTGGATGTCAGTTCTCGTGAATTGCAAGGAACGCGCCTTGTTGCGAGCGTTTGATGCGAGTGGCAAGGCGGAGGCCGGCAGCGGCAATCCTAGTCTCGTAGAGCTGCAGCAGGCTGTTATACGATGCGTTATGCGATTACCCGGAAACGATCAGTGCTGTGATTGCTCCTCGCAGAACGGTAACATGAATATTGTGAACCATTTAATGGCCAGTCCTTCTCTGACGCGTGCTAAATCTGTCCATTATACTTAACGCGTAACTAAAACGATTTCTCCGTTAAATTTGCATATTATAAGATAGGAGAAATTGATTTTTTAATTTATTATTTATTTTATTATTTATTTTTATTTATTATATATTAACTAATTTTTTTATCAAATTCTAATCATTCCTAATAATAATTAAGCAGTTGTTACTTTCAATTATAATAAAATACGATAATTTATTTCTTGTTCAATTAATAAAGTCTATTAAATTAAATAAATACAGATTTAACAGAGGTTCTCGAAAGACCATTGAAAGCACGTTTATATGTCATCAAGTAGCATGAATGTTCACCGGTTCGCTGGCCGGGCATTGTTGTAGACATTTCTACGTGACAAAGACGAGAAATAGCAACTTTGCTTGTGCTCCAGTTTCTCGCGAAAGCGTTTTGTTATCGAACGACAATTGTGTCTCCTTTTCAGATGCCACGTGGCTGTCGACGAACTTCGGCATAATAGTATGCATAGAGTGCAGCGGCATCCATCGAGACTTGGGCGTGCATATATCGCGGATACAATCCCTGACGTTGGATAACGTCGGTACCGCTCAGCTGTTGCTTGCGCGGCACATGACGAATCAGGCGTTCAATGAGGTGATGGAGGCGACGTTGCGTCACAATCTCAAGCCGTCGCCGACGTCGACAATGTGAGTGAATTCGAGATTTTCTAAGAATTCATCCGCGCATCCAACGTTTACAAGCACTCCTATACTTTCACTTTGCATGATGTTTTCACATTTATTTCCTGGCATTTAGGGAGGAGAGATACGAGTTCATACGCGCCAAGTACGTGGACAAGAGATACGTGATGAACACATGTGCGGATGAGCGTGATCTACTTTCCGATTTAGAACACGCCGTTAATAACCGCGATCTGCAGCAACTTCTGCAGGTTTACGCCGAAAACGTTGATCTGGCTGCGCCATTGCCAACATCGGTGAGACATTATGTCGTTTTCTTATTTCTGAGAAGATTGTGAGAAATGCTCTCTCATAATTATGTTAATAAGAGATTCTAAGAAATCAATGTCTATTTCTCAGGATGTAGGCGAAACCGCGTTACACTTAGCCATTCTGCGCGAAATGGGTAGCAGTCTGCACATCGTGGATTTCCTGGTGCAAAATATGCCGAGCGGCGGTATTGACAGAATAACCATCGACGGAGAAACGGCACTGCATCTTTCCGCGCGACACGACAGAGCGGAAGCGATGAAGTTGCTTCTACGAGCTGGCGCGGATCCCTCGCAGCGAAATAAGCAGGACAAGACACCATTGGATATTGCACAGGAAATGGGACATCATACGTGCAAAGAACTGGTAATTCAACAAATCATATTTCTTATTATTTAGTATCCTTTGCTCAAATAATTTTCTAATAAACACGAATTTTTATTGCTCTATGATTTTTTAAATAATTTTTTTGTTTCATTAAGATTAAAACAATTCTTTATGCTTTCAAGAGTGACATAAAAAAATATCAATAAATTACTTTCAGCTCAGTCATGCTCTCCAGAGACAGAAAACATTATTTGATAACGTTAATATTGACTGGAATCTTTCTCATGATGAGGGTTCTACGGACTTCTCTGATGATGAAACGATAATAGAAGACAGAGTGAGTATATTAACATATTATATATCGATCTCTCAAATTTATAATTATAATTTATTTGCATATAACTACTTACATTAATGAATTATATTAATGAATATGTATTCTTCTTGTAGAATGGATGTTTGACGCCTGAGAAAAAATCACGTAGTAGACCGCCGTCATATGCCGGAGGTGGCGGTACGGGATCGGGTGACTCGCCAGTGACATTGCGCAGTCGAAGCAGTACTTGTGACAGTCTCCAGAGTGGATCTTCTCCGAGCGCCTCGACGAACCGTCAGCAAATGCCTCCGCCGCCACCGCCGCAGGCGAGAAAACCCGTAGTTGGTAAGTTGGACTTGCACTTTTACACTTCTCGCATTGCATGATAAATCTATTAAGTGCGCTGATTCAAATAATTTGATTTTCCATTATCTTTTCATATTTTTTACTTGATCATGCAAATCTCACAGTACCCACTCCCATGGCACCGGACATTTCATTAAACATCCACGGCTCGCTGAAGAAGCGGGTTGCGCCGCCGCCGCCGCCGGGTGGAAACTCCGTCGCGAGTGGCCTGCCATCATCGCACTACGGTACGCTACCTTCGTCGGCCACGTTGGCTACGTCGACGCACAGTCGTACGACCAGCGAGCCGATTTTAGCTGGCCACACTTTACACACTCTACCGCATACGTTGAATACACTAAATAGCCAACATCATAAGAGATCACCGAGCGGCGATTCGTCGACCGGACACGGTACATTCGATAAATAAATTTCGCAGGAGAAACTTCGACATTTTGTTTATCAATGTCAATACTTACATCTCTCTTTCTAAATACAGGTATGGACAAGACGAACAGCTCGACACTACAGAGACCGCGAAATCCACCGCCTCCAGCTCCATCCAGTATAACGACTAGGCTAAGCAATGGACGCAGCAGCGAATCCCTGAGTTCGATGTGTTCAGATCATGGTCTGGGCAATCCTATTCCTCCACCGCGAAAAGTAAGTCACATTTAAATTAATGATCGCTTCAACAGAAATTTTGAGATTTCGTAGGAAGGTTAGGGGAGATTTTATTTTCATATACTTACTTTTTTTTGTTAAAAATAAAGGCTGTGTTCCGGGTGTTTTCAGCGCTAATGCGACGTTTTATCTTCATTATACAAAGATGTACTGATAGCGCTGAAAATTAATGTTCTTACTGAAAGTACGCTAACGAAACATAGCGTACAAATAGTCTTCCTATATTCATACTAAAAACGCCTTACTGTTTTGGGGATTCTAGAGCTGATGAAGCTTTAAGTAGTTTATTTAGGCCTGTATTATACATATGCGAAATTTGTAAAGAGATTCAAATTAAACAAGTGCTTTGCATATTAATTTTTATTTATAGTATACAAATTTTTAATAAATTATAGTACTTTAGCAAATACAAGATGCTAACAAATATATTTTGATAAACATTATTTAGAAATAATCTTAAATATAATAATAAATAAAAAGTCTCATCAATTGTAATGTTTTAATAAAATTAAAATTTTAAAAAACATATCTCCATATAATAGTTACAAAATTGTATCTCGGATATGCAAAGTTCTCGTTCATTTGAAATCATAAATTTCTTTAGTTTATCTTCGAACGGAGCCACCTCCGGTATGATTATTAGAATCGATATTACATCATCTCTGCCTAACGAGTGACATCGATGAATATCCTATTGTCTCACATCTTATCTATTTGCACACACACACATTCAATCAGATAGTTGTCGTTATACTAACACAGTAGAGGAAAAAGTGTAACTAATCAGATTGTGTCATTATGTTCTCCTTCGTAGTATAGTTTTCATTCGATTCATTCGTGCGGGCTTGAGCATTTTGCATTATTATACTAACCATACGTCACGCACATTGACATATTTGTTATCTTTTCACAGTCATCATTATACATTATCATGTATATTATCCCAGGATATGTTATATATTGCCGTAATCCTTATCTATTAATTGTCAGTATAATACATTATCAAATTTCATTATATTATTCTAACTATTCCATTCATTGTCATTTTACGTCATAATAAACAATCATTTTCAGTATAAACTTTAAGAAAATTAAGTTCTAAAAATATTAATACCTTTATAGCAAAACCATTAATATCTTTAATAAATAATATCTTAAATAGTTAATTAATTGCTGTTATGTTTTAGAAGAGAAAACATTTGAATATTGAAAGTATATCACAAAACATTTGTCGAGATAAAATCATTCAATGAAGAAAAACCGCAAAATATATCAATTTATCGCAGATTAAATAGTAGTTAGTTTGCTACGATCTAGTTCGAGATAAACATAATCGTGTGTATCTACGGTGTGTGGATATGTAGAGAATGCATGCGTTTCAAGATCAGTGCTTTATGGTTTGTCATTAACCATTGTTGGTACAGCGAAGGGACCGGTCCAGGCTAGAGAGCTACGCCGAAGAGCCTTCATCTTTGCTCCCAAATCTGAATCTGGTAAACATCAGCCATCCCACATTACAGCATGTTACACTTGAAATCACTTGTAAACAAGCTTATCGTTTTGTATATATTGTAATACTTGTATGCAGTATGTAAGGATAACACGTTTCACGTGTTATTAATCATAAAACATGATCTGTACATAATTATATGATACTGATTATATTATACTGATTAATTAATTAAATTGTACTCTATGTAGAAAAGTTTTTTGAAGAAAAAAAGATTGCAATCACATCATATTGCAATATATAATTAATAATAAATCTGAATATGATAAGAATCCATATTTTTTTCTCTATCTTCACTTGCCAACGATACTTTCAAGTGTAACAGTGCTTTGCATGATCAGACGTGCCGTTCGTATCATCATTTATAGAGCTCACGTCGAGGCTTTAAATATATTATATTATTTCTATGTATGCCAAATAATCACTTACATTAGATCTCATTGCCATTTTAATCACAATTAAATGCTCTTTATTTGTTGAGATATTCGATTGTAATAATACATAAGTATTATAAATCTTTCAAGACATGTAACTCCATAATCAGATTCACTGCGAAACAGCGAAACTAACATTTACATTTCTTGATTCTATTTTAATAATTAAACTATGTTTGACTTGTAAAAAACTTTCAATGAATCACTATTATTAATATATAACTAATATTTTAAAAACTGATATAAAGTATAATTGTAAATACTGATCCTCGCATGTATTTTCCCGAGTGAATTTATATTTGTCGATATTTGATCGCATTATTATTATATTACTTCTTCCGACTTGTGAGACACTTCCCCTTTTAAATTCTCTTATTCTAAACCCTATTCGGATATTAAAAGGCATATAATTAGCATGATATCAGTGTCTCATATTGGAAATTCTAGTTACAGCATACTTTATCAGAGGAATATCAAATTATACTTTTAAAAAAATGATTCATTTTCAATTCTTGTATCCGAATAAAATTTAATTTTTCTTACATGTACTCGTGCTTATTATAATTTGCTTTCACAACAGTTCATTTTTCGTTTTTTTCTTTCGATTTTCTAAAAAAAAATGAATCATGATTCATTTGTGAATGAACATCAATTAAATAAAGAATAAAATAAATAAAATAAATTAAAATAATGGTATATAATTAATCGAGGTATTAACTCATATTAACCTTGTGAATCGATGTATTAACTCATATTAACCTTGTGAATCTGTAATAATTCTAGAATTTCCAAAAAATGTTCTCTTAACTTTTGGAGAACAAAGCGTTTTTAAGCTTATCGTCTCGTAATAAAGATACGAGCAATAAAAGTGCTTGCTTCGACCAGACGGTCGAAACATGCACGTTCTGATATTTGTCAGTTCCACGAATGACTTTTTTATTCTATCTCCAGCCAACGTCGTCGACTTTGAGTGGCCTGCGACGCTGTCGGGCCCTGTACGATTGCGAGGCTGACAACGAAGACGAACTGTCGTTCCGCGAGGGTGAGGTCATTATTGTGACAAACGAGCAGACCGATGATGACAACTGGATGGAAGGCGCGTTAGAACGGGCGCCAGAACGGCGAGGCATGTTTCCGATTAGTTTCGTACACATGCTACAGGATTAACATTCGGTAAGCCTGAACTCGTTAGCGAGCGTCACTAGCACTGCCAGTTCGATGAGCATCGTCAGTCTCGGCCGTAGAAACTGGCTCAGGAAACCGAAAGAATAAAGCGTTCAAGCCATCTTTCAGCCGTCTCTTCAGAGTTGAAACATATGAGTATCCAAAGGAAGAAACTTTGGATGAGTGTCGTTATCAAGTAAAGAATTTAATCCGCATCTTGAGTCTCTTATTTTTCTCTAAGAAAGTTAATATTTATAAGATGAAAAGTGCATCAACACAAGCAATTTTACAATTATGAATGGAGTAAATCAAATATAGTAGCGGCATAAATCATTTCCTCTGATTTCAAAAGCATAAATTTATGTATTTACTCTGAGAAAATAGATTCTTATTTTTTTTTATGGAGAAAAATTTATTTATCTATATAAAATGCTTTGTCACGTCCCGGATGTGAATCGAGAGCGCATTGCTTTCCATGGGTTGGAGGCTACGAGAGACTCAATGCAACGGAATGGAGGAGAAGCAAAGAAGAAAAAGAGAAAAGTCAGAGAGGAATTTTGATGTTCGATCGTGATATGAACGATTGTTTTGAATGACTGTGGAAATAATTAATTATATAAAATAATAAAATTTTATATTATGCCAAAATATTAGAAAAAACGATATGTATTAAAATTATATTATTATTGATATAAACTTTCAATAATTTAATTATGTGCAAGTCGAAGTTTTATCATTCCATAGCTTATTAAAAAACATTAAAAGAATTCTAAAATTTTTATCTACTGTAGAATTATTTTTGCTGATGCAATAGTATTCGATCTTATGATTCTTTGCAAACGATTCTTTTAAACCGTTCAAATGCTTTTTAAAATTAAAATTTTTTATTCACTTTTTTGTCATATATAATCATCAATGCGTACCATTTTTATGTTCCAAGGAAATTAGAAAATAGATTTCAATTTACTTTTTTTAATTCAAAAAATCAATATATACCTCAAAGATTTTGCACTGGGCTGTAATCAATATATATGGATTATGTTAACTGCGTGATTTTTGAAAAATGATGTTTAGCCAAGTATTAGTGTCTTACGCTGGATGACAATCATATCGAGACTTTCGAAGGTTGAATATTATAGTCGATAATAAATACTCGGAATTTTGTCTCGTCATCCAGGCACGATTACACAGCGTGGTTTAACTTTTCTCTCTCGAAAATGAGATTCTGTCTTTTTTGAAAAGGGAAAAAACTGATTGTACAAACGCTGCGATGACATTTGCGGATTTCTGGCGTTTGTCAAAGAATGTTGTATCTGAAGAGTTTATATGTATGTAGAGAAATCTTATATGTGTATTCGTCTAACTCATATTATATATGGTACGTAATTGTTCATAATCTAGTTGCAAGATAAAAATCCGGCTAACAAAGTATGACGTCGAGGATGACGTTGGCAAAAACACATCGCGCGTTGCAATAATAATAACTGATTGGAATTGAGGATGATATCGCGACGCTAAAAAAAATGTGATATATATATATATATATAT